TTTTTATTGTTTCAATTCTTTCAAGCATTTATTAGGCATTCCAAAGACTTGTCAAACAATAACTGCGGCCTATTTTTTGAAATATGTGTAATAGAGGTTTAATTACTGATCTTAAAATGTTTGTATGAATCTCAACTAAGAGTATTCCTCTTGCGGGCATTTTTTATTCAGTAGTTTTACCCCATTCAGTTTTTTATTCACTCCCGGTTTTCGTGAAAAAAGTTAAATAGTCTTATCAGACCAGCCTCTCAACTCATCAAAGTCTTGCAGGCTAATAAAGTCGCCGGAAGCTGTGTCTAGATGCCCCCATTTTTTGGCGTTAGCCATTTGGTGGGCTTCTACCACCTCGATAGTTAATGATTAAGTGGAGCTATTCTAACCGTCCGCTTGCATGGCTACTGGATATATATAATAGAACTACTGCACGAACATGGGCATCAGGTATTGCGACTGCCCCCATATCAATTGTCAGTACAATCCGATTGAATTAGTGTGTGAAATCTGTAAACAATACTACGATCGTCTCATTGAAATAAGTGATAGGGAAACACCAAAGTTAACAAATGATGCTCCAATAACACATAGTTTGGGCTAACACTGTGAGATAAAGAAAAATTATAATATAAAACTTACAATATATTATTATGATAAAGGTGAAAGTAGGATTATCACTGATTTGACAGAGAAGTCGGATGATGAATACGGTTTCTATTAAAGCAGAAAATAATACAAAACCAAAGACAACAGTGTCTCTGATAAAACATTAAAGTGTACAAAATAAAAACCTTGAATTAAAGCTTTATCGAAAGAAATCCAATAACAGCTGCAGCTAATAATATCACAAAATTATAGATATTTCTAGATGTGACACGGCACCTGAATAAATAGTTTTTTTTTTAAGAAATTTGACATATCGAACTAAAAAGGTTCGCCGTCACTGGCATACACATAAACTCTGAAATACAGTTTTATCGACAGCGATGATGCCATTTAAATGTCGATTAAAAATATCCATTACGTCGACTTTTAGTGCGAAGTAGAACCTTTATTCATAATAATGCCAGAGATTCTATATAATAATTTTCTCCACGACAATTCATAGGAGCTTCGAGCCGCCTATACAGTGCATTCATAAGGTGTGGAACGCTCCATTATTTTGCGAGTTAATTATTTTCAGACAGGTCGATTTTTCATTTTAGTTTTCTGCTTTTTCCAATTTTTACCCCTACAATTTTACAAGATATGACATCATCGATAATTTTTTAAAATGAAAGGGTGTATTTGTATATCAAAGTTTAGCCATACCACATACAACACTAAGTTACAGTCGTGGAGCCATTTTCGACCAGTCCGGTTATGCTCTGGTCCCTTAAGTCCCTCGGTGCCTTTTGACGATTTGATTGGCCACCGAGAGCGTCGGCAGGTGCCGCGCAGCCGAACCATCCGCAGCTTATCACAGACTACCTCATAAGGTGACGCTTTCAATACAAAGGTGTAATTCGTTCAGTGCGAAAAGATTCCATACTAGCAGGGAAGCACCAGCGTGAACGGTGCCTTCACCTCTGCCGTAGTTGACCACCCCTTCCATAGATACTCGTGGGATTAGAATGAAGAACCATTCAGATAACAACCAAAAAAAACAACGGGTACAATCTCTTCGATCGTCAGAAAACCGATGGAGGTTAATATAACCCCATCCACCAACGTCATTTCGGAGGAGTTAGAAGAGGTGCTACCTTTATCAACCAAGAGCAACGCAAATGAAATCCTGTCCACCCGTTAATAGGCAAGCCAATGCTCTTTCTTCAGGAAAATCTCCAACACGCCAAGCTGCCTCATATGTCCTTGAAAGTAGACTAGATATCGCGTTTATCCAAGGGTCCTGGATTTCAAAGAGGAGCCGTATAAGTGGCCTTGGGAACTGTTTTCGTAAGTTGGTAGCCGGTAACTCTCCGGACAAATCAAGAGCATATCTTCTTATCAGAAATAATATAAAATTCCTAAAGTTATATAGGTTACTGCACCCCTGATGTAGTTGCAGCATAAGTATCGATCCCGGTGGAAAACATCAGTAAGAATGTCGTTTGCTCTGATTACTTCCCGGGAGACGCAGGTCAAGACCAATTATCTCCTTCAGCAATAGTGCGAGAATTAGTTTCCTATTGCAAAAGGAACATCAAACACCTTCCTTTTTGGGTGCGACGCTAACGCCCACCATAAAGACTGGGGAAGTACAAATATCAATGTGCGAAGTGAGCAACTATATAATTATATAATCGGTGAAGGGTTTATTGTTAACAACGTAAGCTCGGAACCAACTTTACGTGATGAAAATCGTGTGGAACTTCTAGACATAATTATTAACAATCAGTAAGCGGTTTGCGAGTACAAATATTGTTAACAGAGGGTATCCACCGAACTCTCAGATTCTGATCAGACACATTACATTTGGCATGAGGACGGATCGTATACCCACTCTCTAATTCAGTGAAAAAGCAGACTGGAGTGGATACGAAAATGCCCTCCAAGAGGGGCTGAGAAACGTAATTAAAACTATTAAAAATAGCTCAGAGATTAAAGTGGCGAATGATCAAATTCAAATTGTCCTTATGACCCCCTATCAGGACAACTGCCTCCTAAATGGGAGACGATACCTAATGAAAACTCCATGGTGGGGCAGAAATCTAAACCAATAAAAAAGAGAAGTTGCTGCTGGTACAAATACCGAAAGTACCTAACGGAGTAGAACCAGACCATCAGAAATGCCAAACGGGAACCATGGAGAAAGTTCTGTCAGAGTATATCAGATTCACCTGTAAACACCTGACTTCACAAGATTCTCGCCAAAGTTCCGAAACAAAAGTCGTTTCAATAAAAAGACCCGCTGACACCTATACGGATTCTTTTATAGAAACACTTCCCGGGCAGTTAAATTCTGGTGGACACTGGACAGGCAACCTGTACCCCTTCCCTCTAGAGAATCCATCACATGACCCAAGGAGTACTGGAACTATGTTGCACAAGTTCGCCGTGAAATGTGCGATGAATTCATTCTCCCCTTTTAAATCACCCTGAGAGGAGGGCATATTTCCTACCCTTTTGCAAAAAGGTCAAGAACCCTCGCTACCCATCCGTTTAGAGCGTGGAGCTACATCCCGCTAGGGTGGACGATGGCAAAAGTGTATATACACAAGGCTGGTAGAATATGTATCTCCCGACTAAACTCTTATCGTCTAATCTGTCTTAACATCCTTTCTTTTGAAAAAACTAGGGATTCTAAATAGGCATATTAGGAAAGGAATCCTTCGGGCAAGCCCGTTGAACTCCTCCCAATATGTCTATTAAGTAGGTAAATCGACAATCCACAGCCTAGTGAGGAAAATCGGCCATTTCCTAAAACTCGTCATCACTGAGGAAATGTCTACCACATCGACGGAAGCCACGGAGACCATGCTGGACCACATTTGGCTGGAAAGGGAGGCCACGATGGATGATCTCCAATAGACTTTTGAAGGTGATAATAACTACCGTGACATGGTCTTGCTTATTCCCGACGGCATATAGAAAAGTCATACAGCTTTTTTATTCGAAAGAGAGACATAGTGGGGATGAAACCTTCTTTCAGGCGGACCATGTACTGTACACATTTGGCTCTAAAACTGAGCGGGAGTTTTCAGCCAGAAGGCAAGAGTTGATATATCAATAAACCTAGGCTCTCTGGCCACGATCTTTCAAGCAGAAATGATTGCTATATAATTGGGAGCGAGAGTTTATTAATGTTCTCCCCGTTAACAAGAATTTAAAGACCTTTTCGGGTAGCCAGACAGCCCTCTAAGCCCTGAGTTCCAATGAGTTGACTCAAATCTGGTTTGAAACTGTATAAATACCCTTGTCTCGGAGCACAAAACAAAGATTCCATAATCTGAGTTCCGGGGACACAGCAATGTGGAGGGCAATGAAAATGCCAACGGGGTCGCTAAAAGAGAAACCGAATCTAAGTTCATAGAACCAGACCCATTCCTCGATATTGCAAAAGCACTACGAAGAATTATCTCAAAATGGTCGGAGGGTGCAACACTTGCGATATGGAAAGATACCCCAGGGATTACTCATTCGAAAGTGTTTATAACCAACCCTTCCATGAACGGTTCTGTTCAGATCCAGTAATGGAGTAAGGTTTACGTATTTTCAGGGAACTGATGACAGGATATTGTTGTCTATTTTGCAGTGTGGATACCGAATCTGCAGAACATATTCTATGTACCCGCTCTGCTTTGAAAAAAACTAGATTTCAGATCTTCGGATTCGCCCAATTGGAGCCTACCGACTTTAAACAGAGCTCACCCAATTCAACCATGGCCTTCATTAGAAGGTATCTTCTACACGGTGAACTGTAAGTTAGACATGAACCATAATAGATCCATTTGGGTTGTAATGGAAGCCGCCAAGATCATCTTACTCATTTTCAACCTACCTACCCTCTCTGCCTTACTTGGGCCTTTTACGGCCTCCACTTTACTGTATCCACCAGGTCCCTGCGTAGTTGGCTCATATTCAAGAGCAACGGACAAGACATTAAGCAATGTTTTGTGACGACCTAAACGGAGTGTTTTTTGCATTTCATGATCACATCAACAAATGTTTGGACATCATATTTTCTGGAACTAATAGGTAGGCAAATCGTACCAACCTGGCAATATTTACTTCGTATTCTTGAAGAATCTCTTGTGATTCTTTAACTGTTCTTGATACAAACAAATGCTTTAAGTTTTCCTGGCATGTTTAATCTCTTTTTAAGTTGTTCAGTCATCCGTATCTTCCACACGTATAGTCTGAAAAACATCTTAAGCGTCTCCTCATAGGGCAGATAGTCAGATCTCCTGCAGTTTCTCTTTTAAACAATTCCTTCGCTCTCGAAGCTATTTCAAACTGTTTTAGGTAATTGGTCCATATCTTTTCGTCGAAAGTTGGAACTTTAACACAAGCAGAACTTACAATTCCTTCAAGTTTCAGCATTGACTCTATCTTTATTTCATCGTCCTTTGCCTTTTTTTAATGTTTCACAACTCTTTCCTTTCTGTTTTTTCTATTTCTTCTATTTTTTCAGGCTACAGAAGACATTTCGTTTTTTATAAAAGTCATATCAGAGGAAACTTTATTTTCTAAGAAATATCTAGTTTCCAGCGTAACTCCGTCACTTTTAAATCACATAGTTTTTTAGCCATTTTTACCCACTATTTATTTTACATAAGTAACGTTTCTTTAAACAATATATTTATTTTATATTCCTATTTACATTAATTTATATTAAACACCGATTTATATCTCACTTATAAACTAATTTACTTTGACTTTTTTTATCTTAACACAATATCTAACTATATACTGACGTATGTTGACAAAGGTTATTTATATTCAAATGTTACGCTCCAGACTTAATCCGATTGATAGGTAAAATTCAGAATGCATTTATTTTTATTTCTTACTTCTAATATTACTTTTATTGTTATAAGAATGTAAAATTTATAATAAATAATATAAATTAAATATTGAAAATGTTCAAAAGAAGTTGTAGCTGTGTTGCTAATAAATTAAATAGGTTTCCATTTAAAAATATTCCTGCTTATTCCTATGGTATATATAGATTATGAGTTTTAAAGCTTGACATTATAGTCACTTCTACTCCAAGCCTTACGCCGCCATAATAAGCAAATTTCAGGACATCCCATAAGAAATCACCGAGCTCAAATTTTCTGGTCTGAAAAATACTCCAGACCCTACTGGTTGTTCAAACATCTGGATTCCATTGTACAGTGTACGACTTATAGTCCATTAAGCTACCTTCTTTTATGGAATCTTTAACCCATTCAAAACTTAGATGCCTAATAGTGTAAGAACAATTTAAAACTGGTTCTCTGATAACATTGTAATAATGTAAAGCATATGTTGCCTGCTCGGACTCGTCTTCTGAAAGAATTGTCCCCCCGTTCTTAGTAAACTGCCTGAAATAGAAATATTATGAATTAATAAAAAGCGTAATAAGATATTGAGTTAATCGGAATCAAAAACGTTACTTGATAAAACTTTCTGGTTCCTAAAACTAATGAATTAGTATTGATCACAGTAGATGAGATATTATTGGTGTTTCAACTCCCATTTTAAAACAGGAGAAAACATTGCTAAAATTTGATCAGGGTTACATGTAAACATTCACTAAATTCACTAGTGTATTTGCGCCAATAGTAATGGGTAATACAAAAAGCGATCTTGTGTACAACGGCAATAGTCTTTAAAAAAATACAATTTTGGATGAACGAAAATGAACTTACCTAGAAAAGACAAGGCAGTTGTAGTCAAAGACGGAAGAAAGAGAAAATACATCACTTTCCAACTGCGGTTAAAGCGGCTAAATACCTTGTGTTCTGGATAGATGATAAAATGTGTTTTAGAGAACATATTAAAAAGACAACCGAGAGCAGAAAGGCAAATAACACCTGTCCCCAAATTGATGCCGAATATTAGAGGGCTAAGTAATTTAAAAAGGGCACCGATTTGGAGGGAGGTAGTAAAATTTACAAGGATATAGTCTTAAGTACAAAAGCAAAAATGTTCTAAGAGTACATCGGCATAATGAACTGTTTCAGTTGAAGCCCTGCAGGTGATAACTGGATGTATACCGATTGACATTCTGTTACAAGAAAGAAAAAGGCTCCATAACAGACGACTAGTTGACATTAGAGCCAAGGAGGAAGAGAAGATATTAACAATTAGAGTATGGCAGATTATTAATAATTATTATTAATTATTATTAACGGCCCAATATCTTTACACTTTGCATAAAATATACAAACTTAAAACTAACAAGTGTACCTAATAAATTAATAATTAATAAGTTATATATCCCTATAGATTAGGGACATAAAAAGAGATTTTTTAACAAACAAATCTATTGTTGAAGACAGCGAATTGGCCAATTTCATTGATCTGATCAAATATGAGTTTTCTGTATAGTTGGTAAGTATGACAAGATCGTTGCTCTGGCTGATTTGAAGAGAATATTGAATTGCAACTTGTGTAGAAAGTCAGAGCATTTTTTTTGTAAAATTTAGAACATACAGGAGCACAAGATTTTTTGTGTCCCTCCTTGACTTTAAGGCGTTTAGACTCAACATGGATTCGATTTCATTATATTCGGTGAGGTTGTGGTTTCACTTGTTTATAAAAAATATTATAGACATTTGTGCTGAGCTTGCTTTAATTTGTTAATATGTACATTATAGCAAGATGAAAATAGACAAGAAGCATATTCAAGGCGAGATCTAACTAATGATACATATTTATAAAAGTTTTATTGCAGATATATTTGAGAAGTCTTGTGTATGACTTTTAATGAAACCGAGCATTTTAAGAGATTTGCTTATCGCTAAGTGATGTGAGGAATGAAGTTAAGTGATTTATCGAAGATCACACCTAGATCTTAACTTTGTGCAGATGAATATCATTTATAAAGCCTTGGTTTCTTTGAACACTCCGTCGCGGTGAGCGGACAGTTCGTCGACCGCTGAGGACAGCAATTTTCGCCCGAGGTGGTTTGTTAAAAAATATAGAAAATGATACTTTCTCTATGTCTGTACGTGCTGTTTATGTATTATGAATGTAAACGAAAGGTACTAAAATGGTTGCAAATAAATTATTTGCATTGTTATTATTGTTGGAAGAGGAAGAACAAGAGGAACTGGCAATTGCAGCCGTCAAAGTTTCCAATAAGCCAGTGAATGAGTTATTTTTGTGTCGCGATACAGAAGGTGCCTTTAATATCACTGTGCAGCGGAGGCTTTTTGGAAATGAAACCAAATTTAGGGAGTATTTTAGACTTTCTACAGATCTTTTTGAATTCGTGTTGAGTTTTATAAAGGACATAATTTCCAAGAAACCTAAAAATAAAGTCATGATGTCATCTGTATGTGTGAATTTTTCACTCATTGTTTTAAAATTAATAACAATATAGTCTCCGCACACGCCGACGATTCCGCTGATATCAAACTCAACAGATATCAACCGACTCTTCGCGACAAATCAGCGGCATGACGCCGTCCTGTTCAACTAAGCGGATTCAAGAAAACCATTCCCATTTAAATACTCTGGTTGGATAAAATCGTCAAAACGCGACGGTTGACGGACTGTCCGCTCACCGCGACGAAGTGTTCAAAGAAACCAAGGCTTAACATAAACACTGATGAAAGGGTTTTTCGACCGTGAAAAAGATACAATAAGACACTTCGAGAGCCATACTCTCAAATTTAAAATAACACAAGCTAAAGGCAGAATGTTCTTATATAAAATAATAAACAATAATTAAAATAATAAACACTGATAAAAAAATCTAATTAGTGACAAACATTCCCTATTATCCCGATATTAGATACGTATCCTGATTGTAGATGCTTATCCCGATTGTAGATTGTAACCAATATTGTTATTTAATGTAATTTTTAATTATTTTTAGTATATATTGTTCAATGTTTTGCCGTCCAGATGTTTAATCTGTTTTAATCATGCACAAATTGTATTTAAACAACTTCCTGTGATATTTTTGTTTATTTACCTATATTTGTTATTAAATAAAAAAAAAAACATATTTTTCTTATGTTGTTTTATTATTAAACTGTTTTTTATTTGATAAAGTTCTAATAATCTGTAATTTGCACGACTACACTTCCGTTTATTAAAATTCTTTTTTTTTTTTGAGAGTGGTAGGTTTCTGGCACAGGGCACAGATGTGTTGTAAATGGATTATGTAATTGTAGATGGCGTGGTGCACAGCCAACTCGAGGTCAGAGTTCGTTAGATGCTTGGGACATCTGGACATTCACAAAAATTACCAGGCTATGCCTATACATTCAATATTCAACATTCACAGGTGGATTTTGGAATGCAATAACTATTTGAACAATTTGTATGCACGTGAATGGGAGCCTTAGTCACTTCATAAAAAACTCATAGTTGGTGACAAAAATGTTTATTTATTATAATGGTATTTTCTAGTATTTTTATTAGATATACAGGGTGTTTCTGAAATACATGTATTATTAAAACTGGTTATTATTTTAACTTTCTTAGAATGCACAAATATATTTTTTAAATACCTGTTAATAAAGGCATTGTCGCCTCTCAGAGACAACCAGCAGGTTTTTGACAAGTTAAAAGGCAGGTCCTATATGCCCCTGGAGGATAGACAATGGGATTAATGGGGCCTTAGTGTTGTAGAGCACCCGAACTCCTCCAGCACCTTCCAGATACAGAAAGGCCTTATTAGTTTTGAAAAGCAGCTTTAAAATTGGTATACATCACTGCCATGTTAAAATAATTAGAAATAATTTATTTAACTAGGTCATTGTCTCGAGTTTATTTCAATATCTACCTAGTGGGTCTGTTATTGACAATAGTCTTCATTTTTAAGATTGTTTATTTGATTAACAAATGCAGATTTTATTAACAAATGTTTTTTAAGATCGTATATTACTATCCATTTTATTATGTACATGTATTTAAAAAACACTCTGTATAGCGTTATATTATTGTGCATATACGAATGCTCTTGGATTAGGTTCCGACTCTAAATAACTGAGATTCAAAAAACTTACTTGATTATGTCTTTGTGTTCACTTTTTTTCAGTTCATCAGCCAAAACAACTTTTACACCTGCAAATAGTTGTTTATCATCTGAAATGTCTTCTACTTTAGAAGCAGTACTTTCTTCTTGTTTAGAATCAGTGCGTTCTTCTGGTTTAGAAGCATTCTCCTCCTTTACATTTGTTGTTTGATTTGCAACTTTCTTTTTTTTAGGAGTGCTAGTTTTATCGTCGCTATCAGTATCTTCTTGAAGTTCTCTTTTCAACTTAACATCTTTTGAACTTTGGCTACTTGAATTATCCACACCTTTCACCTCCTTTACATTTGTTGTTTGATTTGCAACTTTCTTTTTTTTAGGAGTGCTAATTTTATCGTCGCTGTCAGTATCTTCTTCAAGTTTTCTTTTTAACTTAACATCCTTCGAACTTTGGCTACTTGAATTATCCAAACCCTTCACCAACATACTAACATCGGGATTCTCTTTGGAATTTGTATATAACTTATTTAGTTCTTTAAGGTTTGTAGCCGTTTTCCAATCTTTATCGTCACGTATTTTTGTCACCCTAGGAAACCGAATTGATATTCCATCTGCTGTATGTACATCATGTTTAGTAAATTCAGCGCCAGTAATTTCCCAAATGGGTTGTTTTTTAGGATCTTTAGCTACAAAATCTGGTATCATAGTTTTAGTGCATTTTAACCAATTAGGTACTTTTGATTGTTCTTGTTTAATTTTAATCATGTCTAATTCAGATTGTAGTTTTTCTAATGTTTTATCATCATGTCCTGTATGTACTTTAGTTACTGTACAAAATTTGTCACTTTTAGAATCATAACAACCCATAAGAAACACTGACATCATTCCTCCCTTCTTTCCTGTTCCATACCAGGCACCTAACACTATTAGATCTGCGCTGTCTGCCATTGCGCCATCAAATAGGTAATCTTTCTTAACTTTTAACCAATGTCTCTTTCCAGGTTCATATATACTTTTAATGTCCTTCAAAACTAAACCTTCTAAGCCCATTTTTAACACTTTAGCTATCATTTTTGATAAATCTTCCTTCTTGTGGATTTCTTCCAGTTCAGAAAACATTATATGATTTGGAATTTCTATCATATTATCTTGAAGAAATTGTTTTCTTTCACTTAAAGGTCGTTTGATTAAACTTTCTCCATTAAAGAAAATACAATCGAATACAAAAAGACAAACGGATGCATCCTTAAATTCAGTTTTTTTGTGTTTACCTAAAGTTCCAAATGGTAAAGGCTTTCCAGTTGTTGTGTCTACCTTTAAAAATAGATTACATTCAGTTATATTACAGACAGTATAAATAGAACCTAATGTAGTTATATCACACAACCAAAGTCAGAGTTTCTAGACATTTATAATATTAACAGCTTTATAATTAATTATACATCAAAGTGTTCAAGGTAGGTATTTCAAACAGAATTTTAGAAATTGAAATATTCACCGAAAAAAATGACTGTGATATATTTTGTAAAACAGAATACTAGTGTAAAATAGAACGAGTTTCATCCATTAGAGTAGAGGGATGGGTACAAGATTACTAGTTGGTATTATAGAAAGAATTTGGACCATGGTAGTGTTTTTATATTAACCAAGCTCAACATCCATTACACAGTAATTAAAATGGATTCTATTGAAAAATACTTTGAATATGCAAGTATAACATTCATTTTTTTTTTTTTTGATAATATGGAAATAACTATTATATAATATACATTTTTTGGAAGTAATACTTTCCCTAATTTTACCCTCTTTCTTACGAGTGAATTTCAACTCCTAAAGTCGACTGAGCGACTTGTGGTTATTATTATTTGTCGTGGCGCTTCGGGGCGACTTAAAGATGATTGACGGCGACATTTGCCTTACAGGTGAGGAAACCCCCATCCACCATCATTGAAAACGGTAACGCATGGCGATTTTTATAATCTGGATGTCATAGCAACAGAAATGAAATTTCTGCTAATACGGCACATGGTCTTCTGTAGGATTCGAAGCGCGGTGTGTCTCTACCACAAAATTGGCTCGCCATAGACACCTACGCTACCGTAGTCGAAAGATTTAAGAACCTTGATGCATTCACTGATGTATTTAGTGTATAACTACTTAAGTGATCATCAAAATACTCAGATACTAGTATTACTCTAGATCAAGCAGAGAAAGTGAAACCCAGTTATCAGACTGTAGAGAGCCCGGCAAGACATAATATTACTCAACTTATAAGAAAATTATTAACAGAAAATTGGGAAAATCTGCTTCACTGTAATGAGAATACTGATGATAAATTTGAGTCATTTTACAAAACATTCAAATATTACTTTTCCAGTTAAACGTAAAATATAGTAATAACAAAAACAAACATAATTACAGATGTAAATGCTTACTTTTTTTAGTTTTTGGAAAAATATATATCTCAGTACATTATGTAATGTAATTTTTTAACAAGTATAAACTATTTAAAAAAATCAGTTTGGAGAAAAGTACTCTCCACATCTAATGCCATAATTAAGTTGCCAGATTTGCTGTATTTTAATCTGGATGAAGGAAATAAAACCATTGGTATATTTTTAGACTCAAGCAAGCCTTTGATCTAGTAAATCATCATATTTTGTTAAATAATATAAGCAGGTACAGTTTTAGAGGTGTTGCTTACTCTTAGTTTGAGAGCTACCTACACAAAAGATCTCACTATATGTCTATTAACCAAACTAAATCAGATGTGAAAGTGCCTTACTACAAGGTTCGATTTTAGGGCCACTACTATATATAATCTATGTACACAATTTTGCTGTACATAATCCCATAATGTATGCAAATGATACATAATTTCTGATAAATGGAAAAAATATGTATTTAACTGAAAATGCAAGAAATACAGTATTAGGTAAATGCACAACAATGGTTCACAGAAACAACCTTATTGGTAATAGCAACAAATTAGCATTTCTAAAATAATTTAACTATGCTAATTCATGTTCTAATGCTAACCTTTTAATTAAGCAGTCAACAGAATCAATGAAACAGGTCCTTATTATAAAAATTTTTAGGTCTACAAATTTCTCAGAATTGTGAATTTGTCACATTAATGCCTTATGCAAAAAGCTGCATCAAAATGACATATCGCACATTCAATCAAATAGTTATAGCTTGAAAAACTTGGGTTTTGAGTTAAATAGATACAAATGCTCAAAATTAAATGATGCATCATCTCAAACAGACTAATATCTCTAACTCCACATATTCGCCACTAGATGGCAGATGTCATTGTATAGCACCGAGACCAGTTCATTCTTCAGTGTACTCAATTAGTGTGACATTTAGTAATTAACTTTTTTCGGATGTGTGATATTATTTCAAAGTAAAATTCTCGACAAAAAGGTGTTAATATATTTTTTGCGTAATATTATTCCATTATATCATATGGAATAGTCACATGGGGAATATCACCTGATGCATGTAGAATCTTTATATTACAAAAAAGGGCATTGAGAACAATTGAGGGAGTTAACCAAAAAAACAGTTTTAGGGACATTTTCATAAGTCCCAATATTCTTATGATTCCATTCATTTATATTTTTTAAACTCTTGTGTATGTGAAAACAAGCATTACCTCTTTTGTGTAAAAATATCAGTACAAAATATTTGTTTCATAAAATATCGTTAACTTTGCAGATTATTTTTCTTTTTCGAATTTCAAATTGCTTTTCAATTTTTACTTTTTTATTCATCAAATTTCTCTTTTATAAAACATAAATTTAGTAAAACATGCAAAGTTCAAAGTTGCCAAGTAGTTTTATGGTGCTCTAAAACTGTAATGTTCCTGAAATATGTGGGTAGCAAAATATACAATAACCTACCCACCGATATAAAAGCACTACCATTGCCCAAGTTAAAGATAACAAAAAAATTACTACTAAGAAAATCACACTACTTACTCTGTGGATGAATACTTAAATGATAAAAAAGTAATTTATTACCCATACAGCACACATTATTTCAGAAATATTTCAAACGTTTCAAACATAACATTTCAAGCACAAGTTTCTGAAATATTTTAGTTAAATATTTCACTGCAAATGTTTCTGAAACATGGTAAACATGTTACACAAAAGGTTACTAAATTATAATTTTTTGTAAGAAGAAGATGGGATATGTAGTTATATTTTATTCTTTATTTCATGTCCCTGTCCAGCCACCAGCTAGAAACAAGCCTATATTCTAAATAATTATAGATTTGAGTTGTGGGTTTTTGATATTCATGCATTGTGAACTTGTTATATGGGAAGCAGAATATGTCTTTAGAAATTAAGGTGAGAACTACATAAATAATCCTTGCTTAGATGGATCTTCATGTTTTGTTTAGACATAAGTATTGTTTTATTACAGTTAGTTTAAAACAATATTAATAAAACTATTGTTAATCAAATAATTTGTGTAAATCCTTTTAAATTACCTATATTTTGTTTCAGATTAGTGCATTTAAAGGAATTGGTGAAATTAAGCAATTTGCCAGCTTTGGGACTGTGCCAGTAAAAATAACATCCAAGTTATTCAACGTTTCCAGAATAAAGTATTAAGAAACATCGTCGATGCATCCTGGTACTGATCTTCATAGGGACCTTAAAGTGTAGAAAATACAATACAAAAATTTGCCAGTAGTCACCAACAACGACTGCTTCAACATGGAAACCTTGAGATTATCCAGCTCCTCAATAATGCCAATCTAATAAGAAGACTCAAGAGAACCAAACCTTTTGAGTTAGTTCAGTGATGTTAGATTAAAACAGTATAGTGCAGTTAAGTGTTATACGTTAACGGTAGTGTAACTAAATAATTAGACTCTAAAGTACACTATATAGTGAGTAGAATCTTAGTTTATGAAGTTTTTCATCCCTAGATAAGTGGTAAAAATAAAATTGCTAATTGATCTTAATGAATTAGATTATACAATAATCGTAAATGTTTCTTTACTTGGAGCATTTATTAAAAAAAAAAACCTAGTTGTTTCAAATTAGTGCATTTAAAGGAATTGGTGGAAATGAAGCAATTCACTTCTATATTTTATGAAATATTCTTTAAAACATATTTATTTATTTGTTTAAGAATCAATGTTTTTTTAAATGTCTTTTTTAGTCTAATAATAGAAAACACTACTAGAATACATTTCTGAAATATTGCTATTTAATATTTCTAAAAGATTTCTAATTTTTATTTCAGAAATATTACTGTGAAATATATTTAGAGGACATTTTTACGTTTCAGGCATATTTCAGAAATGTTTCTGGGATGTTTCGTAATATTTATACAACATTGCAAATGTTTCAATGTAACATTGTTGAAATATTTCCGAAATGTGTTTGTGCTGTACGGGTATTACTGTAATTTTCTTGTTTAGATTCTGTAGGCCACCCATTATTAATTAATAATTAGTTTATATATACATCATTTTTTTTTTAATTTTGTACTTACATTAGTTGTCAATTTTTAAAATGTCAAAATGACCTTATAAAAATGACTTAATAATATAATACTCTTCCTAATTTACCCCTTTGCAAATGAATTTCAACCCCTGAAGCAGACTGAGTTTGTGTGGGAAAGGGATAACCACTATTTGCTGTGGCATTTAAATATGATACAGGGAACCAATATTTTGTTTATAAAATGAAAATTGCAGATTAATGTATTATCTTTTAAATTATTTTTGTATATTTTTTATAGTAAATGGGGATTTCCCATGTTGTTCAATAAATAAATAAATAACATGTTGTTCAATAAATAAATAAATAAATAAATAAATAAATAAAATAAATATTACCATCAAAATTTCGCTGTCTAAAATGATGTCATCTGCTTTTGGAAAAGCTTTGGTAATATACTCTTTAAAATGTTGGACTTTGTGAGGTAAAACAGGTTTTAATGATCTAGAGAAATATTTAAATTCTGGTCCACATTTATGAATTTGGACTCTCTCCCCATCATATTTAATTTCAGAATACATTCCATTTGGACATTTCTTCATAGCTTGTTCTACAGATTTACATGATTCAGCTAACATTGGTAGTACTGGAGTTAACAAAATCACATTTCCTTTCATTGACTTAGTACTACTAGTAGTAATAGTACCACTTAGACATTTCATGATAACGGCATCTAAATCTCTGGAAGTTTGATAATTTTCATAAGCATTTTCATGTATTGCTTCTAGAATGTGCTTAGCACCAGCTCCCATTCTCAAATCCCCTTTGATTAATCGAATTACCATTTTTAAATCATTAGAGGTGCATTTTGGCACAAAAGTTTTAAAATGATCTACTTGGTCTTCTTCTTTAGTCAGTTCTGAGAGTTGATCTAAAAATTTATCTACTTCTACTACAGTCAATGTACACTTTTTAGCTGGTTTAATTTTAGTACTGTCTTCAAAAAATTCTTGAATGGTTTCTCCAATATCACCTTTTTCTAGATGATTTAGCATATCATCTTGATCAGTGTTGAACAATCTGCTGAATAGTTTAATTAACTGTTTACTTTGTAAGTTATAAACTCTCTTTACTACACCAGGAAGTAATAACCTACACCACAAAATTATATCATCTTTATCAGATGAACCAGGAAAAATATTTGAGAAAGTTTCTTTTACACACCTCGTTTTGTCCAAATAACTATCTGTGTTTGTAATATCTGCAACTAATTTCCGGAATTCCTTAAATGACTGATTTTTTTTCGTTTTATTTGCCTCATCTTTATTATCTGATTTATCTTTATTCCTATCTGCTTTATCTTTATTCGTTTTTTCTGCTTTATCTTTTTTTGTTTTATCTTTATTCGCTTTAGCAGGTTCCTGTTTGCTTTGAACAGAATCATTTTTCTTTTTATTAGTTCCAGTTGTTGAAGCAGTTGATGTAACCCCAAAAAATTTATTCATATCTTTAATACGATTAATTATATCATCCTGTTCGTCTTCTTCTAAATCGCTCCATCCATCAATTTCGTCTGGACTATCAAGGCGTTTGGTTGTCTTACGTTGTTTTAGAAAAGCTTCGAAAAGGCATTCAATATGATGCCAAGCTTTCATTTTTCCGGCACCAAAGGGATTGTAAACCAATTTGGCTAACCTCAATTCTCCCTGTAAACATTTTTGTTTGCATTTCTTACATACAGCACGACCCTGTTTAGCTCGTTCTATTGCAAATGGTTTTTCTTCGACCTCCTCTTCGTCAGACATGATTAAATTAGTTTTATTTTTATCAAATTCTTTTAAAAAATTATTTTCTATTGATCTGTTGGCTGCTACACACTGACAAGTGACACGACAATTAACATTGACAGTACGATAAAATCGATTCAAGCGATTAATCGAATGTAACTCAACAATGGTCTGCTACTTTTCATTTATACAGTGATTTATGAAAATTCATCAAAGAATCCGGTAAAGTTAAAATTCAAATTTATTAGAGAGTTTTAGCAAATGTACGTAAGATTTCCGCTAACGTTACGTTAAACTTAGATTGTGACCTTTTTCATAAACATTGAACGGAGTAGATTACAGTCTATCCCTAAGGTAACGTTAGCGGATGGTTAGCGGCTGTTTGCTAAAACTCCCTATTATTTATTAATTAACACATGGGTAAACTTTAAATATCTCAATAGTTGAACGATATTTGAATGACAATTATTCAGTTAGATAGGTTTAACAAGATCACTCTACAAACCGGTGTTCATCTGTAAATTGGTCCCTTAAAATGAATGGAGCGCAACATACTATTTATTGTAGGCTTCCGTTGGTCTTTTCTCATAAATTCAGACCAGCATTTTAAATATGGTGGATCTTCTGTAAATCTGTAATAAAATAATAACATTAATCTTTGTAGATAAGTACATCCTTATACTTATAGAAACTTAATCCAGACGATTTATTCCGGTTTTTTTAAATAGTCCGCAAAACAATAATTAAAAAATAATGATTTGGACAAACACCGAAATAATCAAATTCGCAGAAGTTCCCAAGGCCAGTTTTACGGTCGTTATTGGATATTCAGAGCTCCTGGATAAACGCGATGTTTAGTCTATCTTTGACAAACCTCCTACCAAACAGTTTTATTTATTTCTACGACTGTAATGTAAGATTTGATAATAATATTACTTATAAACTCAATTTTCTCAGTAAGTCAGTTTTGTGACAATTATCTGTTTTTCCCCTTGCCCTTCAAATGATTTAAACCCCTTTGCAGATGATTCTTTAATGGCTTGTTGTGATAATAATTAAAAAATGCAGTACAAAAAATGTATCTGGCTTTAAACTCTGCTAATAATTTTTTAATGTACAATAAACTGAAACTTAACGTATCAATAACCAAATATAAATATAATAATATAGATTTCAATGCAATTAATCTTACAATTGAAGATGATAAAATTGATATTGTAACATCAACTAGTACCTTTGGCTTTCAACTTGATAAATTTTTGTTTAGTGGATATTTAAATTATATTTTAAAGAGAATATATCAAAGAAAATTTACTTTTTTGCAAGAATATCAAAATTACATTTTAATGCTCAATTATTCAACCACATTTTGATTATTGTACATTGGTTATCTTCCTTATCGACCTAAAGTAAATGACAGTTACAAAAATGCAAACTGGTGTGAGGATTATATTAAGATGTAGGAAATATATTCCTCTATTATCTACCTTGCTTAGGACCGATTCCACCGTTGTGTTAAACGAAGTTTAAAATTTCATTTTTACATTAACAATGTCATTTTAATCTCCGTTTAACACAACGGTGGAATCGGCTCTTAGATCACTTCAATAAATTTTGGTTTAGCAGAGATTATAATATTTTACTATGTTTGTACATAAAATGTTACATGGTTTAGCACCACCTTGTTTTAACAATAATATTCATAATTACTCTACCAGAAATAACAGTAATTTGCACATAGAACAAATAAACGAACATTAATGAATTCCGCATTTACAACAAATAGCTGTTTTGTATTAAAGCTGGTTCATAAGTAACAGTTTTTAAAAATAAAATGATGAAACATGTTCAGCATTGAGGAGATAAGTGTAAATGTTGATTAAATGTGCTAATTTCTTTTAAAAATATTATTTGATGGTATTGATATGTATATTTCTGTATTTTCTTTTGTATATTAGGGTCACCTACTTTAATAAAGATATTTCTTTCATTACTATTAACTATATGCTAGTAGAACTTAGCAAGTCAGTTGATTGAAGTAAAAGCTATCACTAGGGAGTTTTATTCCATGGGAATTTGATTTTATATGTCATAATGTACTCATAAATTGAAAAACAGATACCAATCTGTTTTTAACTGACTTGTATCTTGTAGAAATCGTCAAAGTTTAAAGAGATTGTTCTGAAAATTTGATATTTTCGACTTGTACCTTTTCACCCCAAAGTAGCCAATTATTCTTAGATTGAATTCGTTCCACGGTATACCCACCTAAAATTCGTTCTACATATCCCTAAATTCTTTCTAAAACGGAAATTTATTTCTTTTATATATTTAGAATAATATAGGGTTATTTTCATTCTTCTATACTTTTCAAATTTTGTTGTCTGTTTCTTGAAGAAATTTGGTATTTCTTCTATTTTGTTATTTACCTTTCTCCTCGTACAATAAACAATCTAAAAAAATTGTGGCCAAATTATTGATTAATACAAGCCAGAGGTTAATTTACCAATTTTCTTCAAGAAAGGGGCCGGTAATTTAAGATGGTATAGAAGAAGACTGACATTTGACAAATTACAAAAGAATCTGTCAAATGTCAATCTTCTTCTTTACCATCGTAAATGACGGACCTCTTTTTTGAAAAAATTTGTCCACTTTGTCTAGAAGAAATACCAAATTTCTTCAAGAAAAAGACTACAAAATTTGAAAAGTATAGAAGAAAGAAAATAACCAATAACCCCAAATTTTTTTTTTTTCATTTGGATTTAAAATTTTCTAATTTCCGCTGGAAAATGCAGGTATTTTTTTTTTAAAATATAGTATAGTTTCATATGTTTGTAAACATTTTAGCTAATTTTGTAGCCAAATTTACATATCTTACTTTTACTTTTTCAGGTCTAGTTTGGGACTTTATAATGGCCTTAAGTTGTCATAAAACTTGATCTAGAATCTACAAAAGGGAAAAATGAAATTAAAACATTAAGATGGTAACCTGTTGTGGAAATGTCTGTCAGGAATTCTACAAAATCGCCATATGATACTTGCAAAATAGAAGTACACAAATACATAACGTAAGTACTAAGTACCTATTAAGATAGAGCTTTGTTCTGGTAGTTTTATGTTCATATACTGATATATAAATTAGAAATAAAGAGAGCAATGTTTTAACCATGCCCTTTGGATTATAGGCATAGGATATTTGCATGTATATTGTGGTCCACCTACCTATTATTCTATTTATCTCTAATCAATACTGTTGTGTTTTTTACGCTGTTCTGAGATTGTAAGGAAATAGTTAACATAGTATATAGTGCATTATTAAATTTTTTTAAGTCTTATATTGTAAAGTACTTAATAATAATGACAGATTTATAATTTCTTGATATAATTTTGAAGATTTATAATAAATGCCAATTTATTTTAAGATTTTTTTAATTTAATAATGTCAATTGCTATTTATAATGTTTTGAGAAAACAGTCTGCCTTTAACCCTTGGTTTACAATTATCAAGATGTGTAGGAAAGCAAATTTAAAGTTGAACTAAATACAAATGTTTTATACTTTTAGGTAATTGATTACTAAAAGATGTTAGTTTGTATGTATTGGCTGCATGATTATATCAATTTGTTTACTAGACAATTATTTTTTAATATTAATATTGAATGTGCCAATCGAACAGTAGAAAAAGTCCCAGAATGCATAATTTTAAATGCACTTTTATGCTCTTTATTTGCGTATTACATGGAAATATACAGGTATTATACAGAAGATGGCGGTACCAGTTCAATTTTGACAAAAATGTGACTGCCCCTTTTTTAGAGATTTAGAGATTAGAGCAGTGTTGCAAGACCTGCTGTTTTAATACAGTATGGTCCAAAATAAACAGTATTCACTTAGTAGCATGTAATTGTCAAAAACTACCAGAACTTACCTTTCCAGATGCAATGACCAAAGAAGCAGTCTTCAAAAATACACCATAGACCATCAATGAGTTAAAGGAGGTATTTCCAATATTCAAGGAGGTCTAAATAATTAATATTTCTTAAATAAAAGAATTATATAAGTTCAGTAATGTTTATTTTGGGCCTATTGCAGTAGATTTACTGTTTTGTATCTGTTCTACTGGTTTCCTGACTTTAGTTTTACAAATTTTATTTATTTTATTATTTGTAATTTTTGTTTAATTTGTAATTAGGGTATAACATTCAAAAATTTTCATTTTTTGTTTCTTATATGACTATTTTTCCCCTATATTAAAATCTACTACTGTTTTTTCCCACCCATCTAATGTTCCAGCAAATTTTTGATCTGGCAACACTGGGTGAAAGGGCTGTTGATTCCTTTTTGATCTAACTAAAGGTTTTGCATTATTTTTTCTGTTTATATCTAACAAATATTTTTATGCTTTCAGAAGTTGAAATTCCATCATCCAGCTTCAAGAATGATTATTGGTGGAAAGACATCATTTCCTAGAAACAAATCTCCAGGTTTTCCAGTGGGTCCACCTGCTCCTGCTTAATGATGATAAATGTTAATAATAGGCCCGTTTTTTAATTATGTAAAATTATTTGTTTGCTATAATTTCTTACTTTTAAGTGAATAATTCAAATTGTTCTTTAAAAAAATGTTTTTCCTATTGTATACTCTTTATTTTGTATGTATATGTACAATATTTATGTCACGTTATTGAAATTTGTCTTAAATTGTATATTTAACTTTGTATTTTTTATAAATAAACATCTTCTTAAACGACTTATTTTATTTCATATATTAAAAAATGCTTTTGAAAAATTAAAAAAAAAATTAAAATCTGCATTCGCATAGCTTGCAACCCCTGGAGCTCAAAAATATACTCAGTTTTTTTCTAACAGCAATAATAAAAAAGTTGTGACTCATTTAGCAACAAGTATCGAAGATGGAGAGAAGCAGACACCTGCCAGACATTTCAAATTAAATACTGTACCTGTGTGCCAAATTTCATAAAGATCTGAGCAAAACTAAATTTTTTTCGATCTCCTCGCTTTTATATTATCCTGATACAAAGTTCCGAATTCGAAAAGATCCAATTTTGTCTTAAAATTTTCGTATCAGGATAGCAGAAACGCGACAAGGTATTTGACTTTA